TGTGTGTGTGTGTGTGTGTGTGCGTGTGTGTGCGTGTGTGTGTGATTTTTCCCTGATAATATTATTAATTGTAACTATAGAAAAAAATAATATTACTGGTCAAAATGTTTAAATAATAATACGTTTTTTAATGTTTTTAAAAGAAGTTTCTAATGCTCACAAAAGGCTGCATTTTATACATGTGCATATTACTGCAACTTATTATTATAAATGTTGAAAACCATCATACTTTTTTTCAAGATTCTTTGATGAGTAGAAAGTTCAGAAGAACAGCATTTACTGAATTATAAATCTTTACTGTCACTTTAAATTTAATTTCATGCATTCTTGCCAAATAAAAGTATTAATTTATTTTTTTAATCTTAATTACTCCAAAGTTTTGAATGCTTTTGTTTCAATAAAAATATTAAGTAGCAATAAATAAATACATAAAATTATGGAATGTTTTCAACATTGCTAATAATCAGAAATGTTTCTTGAGCAGTATATTAGAATGATTTCATCACAGAAATAAATTACATTTTAAAATATATTACAACAGAAAAACAGTTAAACAATTTCCCTTGTTCTTCCAATTCTAAGAAAAGAAAAACTCAGAATTGCAAGAGAAAATATGTCTGAATTATATTAAAAAATCTTAAACATTCCAAACTTTTGAGCAGAAGTGTATAAACCAGTAACTCCAGTACTCCATGTGCCATGACCTACACCCCTCAAAAACGTAAGGTATGTGATCTAGAAGATTATTAAATAAAAAAAATAAAAATGTAAGTCTCAGGAATATCAGCTAATGATGTGCCACAGCCACACATGTAACTGATACCCATGAATACCTTTCTAACAGGTTACTTTCCACTGTAACTCAACTTGCTTGTACTCCTGAAGAAGCAGAATAGAAGTACATCATCAGTAAACCAAAACCAAGGCTTCTCTGGTTACGTGACATCATTGGATCACTCTGTAAAAAGCCATTCCAAGGGGGTGGATATTGAAGTTCATGTTCAAGCCGTAGTATTAATAGACACCTGGATGAGGCGGTGATAAAATACAGTATACATACTGAGTCAATGGGCCATGCAGCCATCTATAAACATATCCAGAGACAAACGTGAGAAAATCTCAGCAACCCAGACACTACCAAAATCTCACAATAAACCTTTTTTTCCCACAAAATACTTTTCTAAAATCAAGGCTAAAAGTTCCTTTATTTTCCAATCACACACTCTAAAAAATGCTGGGTTAAATACAACCCAGTGCTGGGTAAAATGGGGACAAACCCAGCAATTGGGTTGTTTTGACCCAGCGGTTGGGTTACCACCCAGAAGGTTGGGTTAAACATTTAACCCAACCACTGGGTCAAAACAGCCCAATTGCTGGGTTTGTCCCCATTTTACCCAGCACTGGGTTGTATTTAACCCAGCATTTTTTAGAGTGCACCTATTTTTACAGGAATAAATGATTGGGGGAAAAAAACTGTGACACATGACCCATTCAAAAGTTTGGAGTAAGAAAGAAAGAATGAAAAAAAAAAGAAATTAAGAAAGAAATTAATAGTTTTATTCAGCAAGGATGCATTAAATTATTCAAAAATGATAGTAAATACATTTATAATGTGAAAAAGAATAATAATTATAATAATCATAATCTTTTTTCAAATAGATGCTGATCTTTTGAACTTTCTACTCAAAGAATCCTGAAATAAAGGTTTCACAGTTTCCACAAAAATATTAAGCAGCAATGTTTCCTACGTTGATAATAAAAAACACAATTAATAGTTAAGCACCAACAATAATTAATAATAACTGAGCAGCAAATCAGCATATTAGAATGATTTCTGAAGGATCGTGACACTGGAGTAATGATGCTGAAAATTCAGCTTTGATCACAGAAATAAATTACATTCTAAAATGTATTCCAATAGAAAACCCTTCTTTTAATTTAAAAGAATGCTAGAAAGAATGAAAAAAAAAAGAAATTAAGAAAGAAATTAATAGTTTTATTCAGCAAGGATGCATTAAATTATTCAAAAATGATAGTAAATACATTTATAATGTGAAAAAGAATAATAATTATAATAATCATAATCTTTTTTCAAATAGATGCTGATCTTTTGAACTTTCTACTCAAAGAATCCTGAAATAAAGGTTTCACAGTTTCCACAAAAATATTAAGCAGCAATGTTTCCTACGTTGATAATAAAAAACACAATTAATAGTTAAGCACCAACAATAATTAATAATAACTGAGCAGCAAATCAGCATATTAGAATGATTTCTGAAGGATCGTGACACTGGAGTAATGATGCTGAAAATTCAGCTTTGATCACAGAAATAAATTACATTCTAAAATGTATTCCAATAGAAAACCCTTCTTTTAATTTAAAAGAATACTTTATAATACTGTTTTACTGTATTTTGATCAAATAAATGCAGCTTTGGTGACCATGAGAGACTTCTTTCAAAAAACAAACAAATCTTAATTGTTAGAAATTTTTGAATAGTGTACTTTCCAAATGTACACTGTGGTGTTCAGATGTTCATTTATGCCTAAACTATTTCAACTGGAAATGCACTTCATAGCAAGTTAATGCTATGAAATCACATGACATATATAACTTTTATGCTGTGATTTACTACACTCCAAATTAATTTATGCCGGAACTATTTCAACTGGAAATGCACTACTTCTGTAAAGTGAATGGTACGCAGTCACATGATACAGTATATAGCTTTACTTTGCAATTTACTACTCTCTAAATTTAAGACAAACATGTAGATATAAGTATTGCAATTGCTTGAAATGTGTGTGTGAAAGTCTAGGAGAAAGTACAGGCTGTGTAATATATTATATATGCCACTCATGTGGCAAGCTTTAGTAAATTATTAATAAAGTGGTGACAACAATGAGTGCAGTCCCGTACAACAAGAACACACTTCTCTCTGAATGAAACATGAATGAAAGACTTACCCACAGTGGTCCCTAAGCCTCAAGCTAGTGTACTCCTGTATGCTCCAGTCTCCAGAACCATTCTTCTAAAAGTGGTACCCATTACCCAAAGATGTTTCCTTTGTAAGATCTATACTGAGAAGCAGGTGCTTCAAACCGAGAGTCAACAAGTGAAAGAAAGTATGACTGAATGTGAGTCGTTAGGCTGGCTGTAAAATCACTGAGTCACAACCAGGGACAGTGAAGTTTGTATTCTATTCCAGGGACAAGAGGTGCAGCGCTGCACATGCTTGCTCTATCAGTGATTGTGTGCAGCTCCACTGCTGCTGAGCTATATTTAACCTCTTCGCTTACTCAGTTGTAGCCATTAGGGTGTGAGAGTGACACGAGGCTCTCAGAAGTGACAGCTGAGCAAACTGCTCCTCATATCAGAGAACCTCCAGGCCTGTTACTCCACCCACATGCAGTCCAGGAACTGCTGTGACAAGACACGAGTTCTGAACAAACATAGGATTTGTTCTCATGGAATCTCATAATTCAGATTTCAAGCAGCAGACGAATTAGCCGAGCCAGCTAAGAGCAGAAACTATCCGTTTGAATGACATTATCACAAAATAATATACACAAAAACCACATCTTCTGTCCTTTTTAATAATAACTAAAGGAACGTCAAGACAACGTTTATGGAAGCTTGTTAAAATATTAAACGTAATTGTGACTTTTTGTCTTTTAATTCACTTTTTTCCCTTGCAATTGTGTTTATAAACACAGATTTGTGAGATATAAACTCAATTTTTTTCTGATGAGAATAAAAGTTCACATTGAGAGATATAAATCTGCAAAAGTCAGAATTATAAGATAAAAAGTTGCAGTTACCTATTTTCTTTTTTATTCCAAGCCAGGGAAGAAAAAAAAAACTGAATTTAGAGATGTAAACAGAATTCTGAGAAAAATGTCAGAATTGCAAGAAATTCTGAGTTTATATCCTCATATCTCCTTTATATCTTCAAAAACTATTTGTAAAATAAAGTTTTTTTTACAAGCCTTTACTAGCAGCGGAGCTTTTATTATGCCACAGTCGACCGCTTCCGGAAAACTGCTGCCGTGACGTGCTGACACAAATTTCAAATGGTTTTCAACGGTCGTTTGATCGCGTCCAGTGTAGTCAGACTTTAGCTGTTGTAGACACGGTGTTACTCACCTATTGAGAAGAAACAAAGCAACCTCGGCGTCCGATCGCAGGCCTCCGCTCCTTGAGTTCTCTCCAGCGCTGGAAAGCTGATCCGATATTTTCACGGGTCCTACTTCTTGCCTTATCTTTCCGCAGACGTTTTCCTCTTTTGTTTTTTTATCCGCCATCTCTATCTTTCTGTCGCTCGGCTCAGCTAATGTCCGTCCCATGCACTGAACGCGCTCTCCTCCACATCACGAGTAGACACGCCCCTTATTGATGATTGGCTACAAGTTTGTTTTGCGATTCGGCCCGAATCAGTTTTCTAAAGTGTTTTTGAAAAATCACTTACTCTGCCTTTAAGGGCAAAACCCACAAGATATAGTACGTTCAGTGCCCTGTAGATGGCAATATCACTCTTGTAGCTGTTAGGTGCCATGCAAAATGTTACTCATTACAAATGTATTGGAGTAAAGAGTACATACTTGTTCAAAAATGTAGTCAAGTAGAAAGTGAAAGTTGCGAATATCTTTGATACTCAGTAAAACTACAAAGCAGCCAAAAAGATGCTTAAGTACTTTCACTCAAGCACTTTACACCAGTGGGTCCCAAACACACTGGATCTCTGTGGGAAACTGAGAAAACTGTGATCCTATTAAAATAATAATTTTAAGAAATTTTTTATATTAAATAAATATATTAGCACATAAGATCGTTACATGGCACTTCCTTTCAGAGCATTTTAAAGTGCCTTTTATATGTTTGTGTGCAGGATTTATGCGTGGAATGTCAATCATCTGTGGAAGCAGAGTGCAGGCGCCTTCACTTGTGTTGTGTTTAATGGAACGCTGCTGAGCTCTCGCGGTCACGTGCTCGTCACGGCTCCAGGAAGTTCCCGCTCGCTGCTAAGCTGTCAAACGCGGAATCCAGGCAGATATCAGTTCACATTAACGGACAGTAAACCCCGAAATAAACCACAGCATCGCGCAGGACAATGGGATGGAATACATCCGGAACCTGAGCATCGCGGATCTGTGTTTGGCGAGATTTAAGGGCGAAATATGAAAGCTACATACTAGCCAACTGCTCATGACACATTAACAACACAACAGAACACAAGAGTTTCAGTGTTTCCTTACTTCTTTTTGGACACGGGACTCAAGAAGGATGGAGTGGGACAATTCTGGGACATTTGACAAGAGTCAAGCTGGTTAACAGAGACGTCAACCATCTATATAACTGTTGTGTAGCAGTGGATTTCTTATATTCTGTTTGTTAACTATTGTTCTGTCAACTGCCAGCAGATTATACAGTGGTCAGGGTGTTTTATTTTCTGTCTTATCATTTTGGGTGATTTATCTACGTGTGTTTGGTCGACCAGAAGAGCTCCAGTATGCATGACGCATACGAACCAGTTCCTATCCTGGAGAAATTACCCCTCCAGATTGACTGTCTGGCGACCTGGGGTGAGTTCTGCTTCCCTTTCCTTCAGCTCCCTTCATTTAGACACCTTTAACACTCATATGGAGTATCGCTGTTGTTGATAATAACTGCGTCTCAAAACCTTGTGAGTTGCAAACTGCCTGTGTGTCAACATTTCTTTAGCCGCATACATGGTATGGGCGTCTAGTATTTCTACCTAGACAGATTTCATTGGTCAATATGGATCGAGTTTGTTGAATACTTCTTGATCAAATGTCCTTTCTCTGGTTTTGTTTCACGAGCTGATGAGCTGCCTGGCAAAAAAAGAAGCTGGTCAGCTGACTCAGAAACATGCAAAACCAATGTCTAGTTTGACAGATCACCAGGTTTTGAGTCATGGCCAGAGAAAGCACAACTATTCCACTATCTGACTGAACAACAGATGTTTGATTAGTTAAGCAGCTCTCAAGGTGTTGAAAGTGTAGTATGATTGTAGGTGTTTAGACTAGATTCCAGCAGGGAACTGAAAGTTCAGTAAAGTACAGTTAAACCAAGTGGTTATGAGGTTGGTTTGTACATCTACATATTGAGGGTGTGTGATTATTAGCGCCATGTTAATCAGTGTATTCTACTAGATCACACAAGGAGTATCTTAACGTCTCTTAGGTCAGTAAATCTCAACCTTTTGGCGTACCGGACCCCAGTCCAATTCAGAACCATCCTCAAGGACCCCCAGAACAAAAATGACTCGTATCATTTGTGACTTTGTGAGGACCAAATGCAGTCAAGTATAATTCAAGTTAGCTGACTTGTCCAGTATTTGGCCATATCATCAGCTATATTGGATTTTTCTTTCATGGGAACATGTCATGTCAAAATATACAACATTTATACAAAAAGTCATACTTTATACGGACCCCCTGGCCTTATGTCAAGGACCACTAGCGGTCCACGGACCCCTGGTTGAGAAACACTGTCTTAGGTCAATCCATCTCAAGTGGTCCGGTAAAGTAAAAGTGAAACTTTGCGCAATCTTGATCATGACATTTGAATATGTAAAATATTTCCGTATGTTCATGTACGTGTACCCTGAAATGTGCTCTAGAGATCAGTTTTTTGTCCCAAAGAGCTTGGACCATACTTAGCTGAGATATTAAGGTTTCTGTAAACGTCCAACCAAAGTTTGTTGTGGGCCATATTAACATACACCCACACAAAATTAAATAATACAATACAATCTAAAAAAACCCGAAAACAATTAGACAGAATAATAATAATAAAAAAAAAAAAACATTTTGCATTACCAATACTTTGAGGTAATCAGTAAATAAATAAATAGATAAAAAATGGTCAAGCAACTTAAGAATTTTTGGACCTGTAAAACTGACCTCCTCTATGCCCCGCCTTTCTGAAACCGATTTTTACAAAGCTCATCGGTCTGAAAAGCGAGGTGTGCTCTGATTGGCCAGCTATCCAGTGCGTTGTGATTGGCCGAATACCTCAAGCGTGTGACGGAAATGTTACGCCCCTTACCTTGTGATGATGCCCTGTCTGGGTTTACAAAGCTCATCGGTCTGAAAAGCGAGGTGTGCTGTGATTGGCCAGCTATCCAGTGCATTGTGATTGGCTGAATACCTGAAGCGTGTGACGGAAATGTTACGCCCCTTACCTTGTGATGATGCCCTGTCCGGGCAGAGCGACGAGACAAAAACATTAAAAAACCCATTATAAACGAGGCATTTGTTGCTTCCAGTGGGGACATAATTACTGATTATAATGACTTATACTGTCTTTTTACGCGTTGCATTGCATCGCGCCGCGTAAACATAACACCATGTCTGCATTTGTGATCGGTGAACCTTCTGAATTATACTGCAAAACTAGTTCCATGAACTTATTTGTAAAACTTTGCCATGTGTCGTTAGTGTGTGATAATCGTACTGTGTTTGCAGATGATTGGCTCCTTGTGGGGACCAAACCAGGCCATCTCCTTCTGTACAGGGTCAAGAAAGATGCAGGTGCGTAGTTTTCGTTGCATCTGTGCTTGTATTTAGCATTAATCATTTGTTGAAGTGATTATTCAAGTTTAAGTGATAATCTTTTTTTTTTAAACACAGGTACAAACAGGTTTGAAGTTACTTTAGAGAAATCCAATAAGAACTTCTCAAAGAAGATCCAGCAGGTATGCACAGATGGATATTAGTCGACCCAAATTTTGTTATTATTTACACACCATTATGTTGTTCCACTGTGACATCCATGAATAATACTTCACTTTAGGCCTGTTTCTCACACAAAGCTATTGTATGACTTTAAAAGTTTTAATATAACCCACAAGTCTCATTGACTATGTTTATGGTGTTCTTGGGTCCTTTTTGGAGTTTGACATCTATGGTCACATTAAACTGATTTTATGGGCAAACTGCATGAAGGTTCTTCAAAAATTTCCTCTTTGTACATAGCATACATCATGAGGGTGGGATAATAATGACAGTGGTGAAAGTCTCTAAAGGAAAGACTATTGTTTGCTACTTCTAACGTTTGTTTTTCTGTTTCCTCTCTCAGCTTTTTGTGGTGTCACAGTACAAGATTTTGGTTAGTCTGTTGGGTAAGTATTTTTTCCAGATTTGTTTAGTCAATGACTACATTTACATGTGCACCAATAATTTAGCAAAACTTCATTCAAGCACAAGCACATACACAGTTTGGTCAGAGTGGAATAGATTTGATTAGAGGTGTTTACATGCCTGTTTATTGTAACTGACATCGCCATATGCCACATACTGTATTTTTGAGCTCAATCTTATCAGTTTGATCAGAGTATTGGGTTTACATAAGGTTAATCGCAATATTGCCTAAACATAGTCATTGTCATATGATGTGTTGTCATATATGCTTTGTTTGTGGCTTGCATTTGAGGAACTTATATCATAGATCAAATTGATGTGGTGTAGTGTAAAGTATCTTAAGGAACTGTGTAGTTTTGGTGTCAGCAGTATCATTGCCCTCTTTTGTTTCAGAAAATAACATCCACGTTCACGACCTGCTCACGTTCCAGCAGATAACTGTGGTGTCCAAAGCCAGAGGGGCCACACTGTTTGCCTGTGACCTGCAGGTAGGTTAAAGAATCACTCTGGCCTGTTTATTTGCGTGCAGCGGCCCAAAAAGTTGTGTTTGTGAAATGTTAATGGAACATGTTGATGCCTGAAGTTGCTCTGCTAAGACACCTGTGTGAATGTGAAAACTCACAGCCACAGTTGCTTAAAGTTCATTGCCAAAAAAAAAAAGTAGCAGTGACTTGGACAGACTTTAAGTATCATCTCCGCTTAAAAAGATGCAATCTATTCCTGTTTACATGAAATAAGCCTGCTCCCAAGCAGCTTTGAGCTTACGGACCTGTTGCAATGACAGCAACCCCAGGATGAGCTTCGAAGAACCGAACAATCCTGGATCTTGTCAAATCGTCAAAGTAACCCACGTATGAAGAACGGGCCCCGGTGGTAGTTTGAAGGTGTTTACCAGCCGGAATGAACTTGTTGAATCACGTTTTGGTCTGATTTTGTTTGAAATTACATCACAACAGTTCGTTCCCTGATTGCCCTTGATTTTGAAGTACAGTATATCATGGCCTTGAGTGTGACTTGAGGGGTCCAAAAACTTTTGGGCCACTTCACTGAATGTAATTGTCCATTAATGCTCTGAACCCCAGATCTGATTTTTCTTTTTCTTTCTCTCCCTCTTCAGCAGTCCAGCTCTGGCGAGGCCAAACTGCGCATGTGTGTTGCAGTCAAGAGGAAAATTCAGCTGTATTACTGGAAGGACAGAGATTTCCATGAATTACAGGTCTTGAGGCTTGGAAACACAGAAATGAAATATTGGTAGTAAACCATAAGATTAGCCTAAATCATATTTGGTCACTTTTGCAGGGGGATGTCACCGCTCCAGACATTCCCAAGTCCATGGCTTGGTGTGAGAACTCCATATGTGTGGGTTTCAAACGAGACTACTATCTGATCCGGGTAAGTCAAAAAAATGTAGTTCTGCTTATGAATATTGTAGTTTGCATTGCAGTTTTGTCAGAAGTTAGCCAGCAGCAACACAAATGTGGCCCTTTAGGGCAAGTGAAACAAACCATTTTGTTTCCTCTTAGACTGATAAAAACCAAATTGAAGCTTGCTGAATTCTGGTTTTATTTACAATATATATCAGATGGACAGTGAGCAGACTGTGGGAGTGCCATCTGAGGCTGAGACCAGATTCTCTCTCAAATTCTGCAGCTGAATGTATCATAATATGGATATTCACTCACATTAGTATTTTTTTTGGGTTAATCGTGTGACTTTTCTCTTCAGATGGACGGACGTGGCACAGTCAAAGAACTGTTTCCCACAGGGAAACAGCTGGAACCATTGGTGGCCCCGCTGGCTGATGGGAAGGTCGCAGTGGGTCAGGATGACCTCACGGTTGTTTTAAACGAAGAAGGCGTCTGCACTCAGAAATGTGCCCTTAACTGGACGGACATTCCTGTTGCAATGGGTATGTATGATGTCAGTCTTAACAAACATGATTCTCATGTACTCATTAGCAACTTACCGAACATGTTTGTTCACGAGTTCAGTCAATGATAAAACAATGTGAACGACTTGTCAGATGATCAAGGAAACTGGTGTCCAATTACCATCTCAAAAATAAACATGGCTATTTTTAATTTGTAATTCACATTTGTGTTAAAAATGTAGCAATAATGAGCAAAAAAAGTTAAAAATCAATGAATAAAAATAATGCAACTCAGAATATGACGCAAACCTGCAATAATTAAATGTTAAACAACACAAATATCCTTTATGTATTTAATACATTATGTATTATGTATTTAAAAATTACTCTAGACAAACATTTGTGTGTCTTTTTTTATTGCTGAAGTGTGTTGAAATTTCTTCTTCTGCATTCTACTGTACGGACGTAAATGTACTTTCCCTTCAGCCTGAGGCTTATTCATTTCACTTTTGGTGTGAAAAGGCTTTTATATTTGCCAAAAATATAACTTTTTTATTTTAAAAACAAACAAGCAAGCCCTGTCCAGATTTAAAAAGTAACGCAAAAGTAACGTAATGCATTACTTTCCATAAAAAGTAACTAAGTAACGTAATTAGTTACTTTTTTATGGAGTAACGCAATATTGTAATGCATTACTTTTAAAAGTAACTTTCCCCAACACTGCTCATCAATGTCACATACAATCAAGTATCCACAAGCTTACTATATATAGCACAACAAAAAGAAATTGGTGGCAAAACACACCTAACATAATATAATTTATTTCACCTGTTGTTAATAATAATAATAGCAATGATTCAATAATTGAACGTCATTTCTTTTTTAATAAAGGAAAAGAAAATATTTGGTATCAGAATTGGCTTCGAGAATTGTGAAATTTCACCGGTATCTAATATTTTGGTCTCATAACAACCTTGTTTCCTGAAAAAATAACAATGTCATGACATGCATTGTTACCATGAAATAAAGTTACTTATGTGTAGTAAACCGCAATATTTACCTATATCTACTTTTATTAAAACATTTTGAAAACTTGATACAAACAAATTGATTCATTCAAATGAATCTGAACTGATTCATGGAAATGAATGAATGCAAGAGCTGTTTTAATATTGATTTATGACCAACCCACACAGAATCTGTGCCTGCAGAAAAATCCACAGATTTCCACAAACTAAGAACACCCAACATGCACAAAATTCATGCTAACAAAGAGAGTACAGACCTGTCAGCACTTTTTAACACATTTTCCTTTTTTCAAATCCATTCTACTGTTTTTTCAAGTCATTTCTGAGTCTGTTTTCACATGTCTTTCATTAGAGCACCAGCCACCGTACATCATCGCAGTGCTGCCACGCTATGTGGAGATCCGCACGCTTGAGCCCAGACTGCTGGTGCAGAGCGTAGAACTGCAGAGACCGCGCTTCATCACCTCCGCTGGGTGAGACCTCTATATCAATACATTTTCCCTCACAGCATTTCAGCTATCATGTATTAGTTCCTCTATTTTCCGCCATTCGTTAAGAATAAGAATATAGTAATGTTCTATTTGTGAATGAATCAGGTTCTTTTTCCATTAGCAAAACTGTCTGAATCAGTTCCCACTTGTGTTCAATGAAGCAGATATTTACCTATGATCCATTGAAACAGACCTGCAGATGCATCCTATTTGAGAAGAAGGTCTTACTTAAAGGGTCATTTGTCGAACAAATGTTGGTTTTCACGAGACTCACCGGCGCATGCGCAACTCTGACCTCAATCTAGCTTGTTGGCGCAAGCTAGATTAAAGTGATTATTACGTTTTGAATATGGATATTTTTCTTACAAAAACGCATCGATTCGCTACAGGAGGACTTTGTTCACCCCCCAGAGCCATGTGAGACACTTTTTTTTTTATGGATGGGCGCTTTTTATTTAACTTCTTTTGGACTGATGCATGCAACACCCGCTGAGTGGCATTAAACAGCTTGAAAAATCAAAGACAATTTTTTATATAACTAGAAGAAAGTCATATACACCTAGGATGCATTGAGGGTGAGTAATTGATGGGCTAATTTTCATTTTTGGGTGAACTAACCCTTTAAAGGGATGAGCTTGTTTGCTCATCACTGTGTCGTTCCAAACCTGTATGCATTTCTTCTGCAGGACCACAAAAGAAGATATTTTGAATAAACTAGATTTAAACTCACTAACTTTCATTGTATAGACGAAAAAACCAAAATATCTTCTTTTGTTTGAAACGACATGAAGGTGAAATAAATGATGAACTATGGGGGGTGAACTATCTGTTTAAATTCAACACTTGCATGTGCAGTTTATGAATGTCTCTGTACTGCAGGCAGAGATATACTCTGATCAAAAGATCAAAATGCTTTAACGGACAGATCATTATGTCACGAATGATCACCCCATCTTTAAAGTTATTTTTGCTCAAATGTTTATGATTAGCTTAAAGGGGTCCTATTATGCTCTTTTACAAAGTCTTGATTTTGTTTTGGGGGTGTACTAGAACAGGCTCTCATACTAGGTTGTTCGAAAAACACATTATTTTTCACATATTTTACATTATTACAACTCCTCTTTCCCCAGTCTGGCATGAACGGCTCGAGTAGTTCCTGTATCAAATGAAGGCCCGTCTTCTGAAATACGAAATGTGCTGTGATTTGGTTAGCTGGGCCAGTGTGTGTTGTGATTGGCAGCACTCGGCTGGATGATTGGATGATTGTAACCATTCTAAGTTCCTCTGCCTTGTGAAAACTAGCGCGTCTCTGACATAGTGATAACACTCGTTGCCTTCTCTAGTGCAGCTCAACCAGGTCTCGTCCCATTCGTCGATCTTTGTGATATCACAAATCCCGGAAAATATGCGTTGTAGTCCAAACGAGTCGTTCGTTGTAGTTTTTGAAAAGTGATTTCTGTTAAATAAAATATCTCCTTTTGAATTGGACTTTGAGCTTTGTAACTTTGCAGATCTTTTTTATGCTCAAACAGCAACATTACAGACTAACTAAAGTTGAAAAAGTGAAAAAGCATAATAGGACCCCTTTAAGGTATGTTTTCATTGAATTGCTGTGAAAGGAGATCTGACTCTGTTCTTTCTTTCCCTCTTTAATTTCACAGATCAAATGTCGTGTACGTCGCGAGCAATCATTTTGTTTGGCGTCTGGTGCCCATCTCTATAGCCAGCCAGATACGACAGCTGCTACAGGACAAACAGTTTGAACTGGCACTTCAACTAGCGGTGAGAAACTTTTTAACATCCCCTAAATACTAAACGCAGAGTACACAGTGTTCTCATATGTTGACCTTGTTTTTGTCTCATCTTTCTTCAGAAAATGAAGGATGATTCAGATGCAGACAAGAGACAACAGATCCATCACATTCAGAACCTGTTTGCCTTCAACTTGTACTGTCAGAAACGCTTTGACGACTCCATGCAGGTGTTTGCTAAGTTAGGCACAGGTGAGTTCATACAGCAGTGATGCTGCACCACAAATGAGAATAGAATAGCATACAAGTACGGAAAGACTTGTCCAGTGTGTGATACATCACACAAACAAATACATAAATAAATAAATATTTAGGACATCTCCTTTTAAATTGGACTTTGAGCTTTGTAACTTTGCAGATCTTTTTAATGCTCTAACAGCAACATTACAGACTAACTAAAGTTGAAAAAGTGAAAAGGCATAATAGGACCCCTTTAACATTCATGTTTTTGAAATGCATATACATTTTCCATCCATTTTTATTACACAGTTTTAAATTAAAAAAAGTAAGATTTCTGTAATAGTATGTTTTCAAGGTTTATATATTTTACATCAATAAATCCAATTATTTTCAATCTCATATATTTCAAATATATGAATAATGCTTGTTCCCCAGCTAGCCATATTTAACCGTGTTCATACTATTTAACTGAATACATTTGTTTTTGCTGTTTCTAAGCAATTGGAATAAATGCATTTTGAAAATATGATTAATTAAATAAAATCAAATAGATTTATATAGCGTTGAGTATATTGAGTGCAGAAATCTTCCTTTCTTGTATGATTGGCAAATATGCATGACATATTTGATTTTAATTGTTTATTATTTTATGTTAAAACTGCAATCCAAATGGATGGAATGTGCAATTCAAATACATATATCTTAAATTTAGGCCTAAATGCTTTTATTTATTTAGTTAGTTAGTTAGTGACATACCAAGTAAATAAATTGAGTTGTAATTTTAATTTATTTCCTTTTCTAACACATGCTTGAACTTGCTGTCTGAGGCTGAGTTGCATCATATAGTCCACTAGAGAGTGCCATTGGACCAGGAAAGAAAGATGTGTGCATAATAGAGTGACATTTTTTTGTATGTTAGCATCACCCTGGTTCCTTCAACAAAAACCCAATAGTTTTGGCGTATGGATTATTGCAGAAAATAAACTCTGTGGCCAACAAAGGTTTATGATTCTTACATGTTTTGTTCATCATGATGATCTTCACAAATGAACACAACTTTTATGAATTTTGAAGCCCAAATACAATCTCCAAAAGTAAAAAGCTAAACATAGGCTGTAAATGAACTACACTATGGTCACATGACTTCAACGTCACCACCATTAAAGGTATAGTTCACCCAAAAATGAAAATTCTGTCATCATGTTGTTCCAAACCTGAATGAGATTCTTTCCTCTGTTGAGCATAAAAGATTGGTTGTACAGTTGACGGTTGCCATAGACTTCCATAGTAGAAGTTTTGGAACGACATGAGGTGAGTAAATGATGACAGAAATGTCAATTTTGGGTGAACTATCCTTTTAAGCTTCAGCAACTCTTTCAGTTTTTATAAAAATAAAATAAAAAAACATTTTCATTGAAGGTTTGAGTTAGAATTAGTAGTTAGAGTAGTTTACCTGTTTGGTTTTGTGACGTTTAATGTCCCGGCAACCTCTATAGTCCCATTTAGACACTTGTCAGCAGCCTTCTTTTTCAACACAAGTAAAAGCTTTAATAAAATCACAAGCTGGTATTACTGATGCATTTTATGTCATAGAATAAAATAGACCTCATTTCAGACATTTAACCAAAAACCTATTGACTTCAGGATGATGATAAATCTGCTTTTCTCTTCTCTTTTATAGATCCCACTCATGTTATTGGACTGTATCCAGACCTGCTTCCCTCTGACTACCGCAAACAGCTGCACTACCCCAACCCTCTGCCCACACTGTCTGGAGCCGAGCTGGAGAAAGCCCACCTGGCCCTCATAGACTACCTGACACAGGTATTCACGATTCATCAATTTCATATTGAGTGTTTTTTCAACTTTTTTTCATCTTGTTACAGTTTTCTCTAACATGTTTTTGATAGAAACGCAGTCATTTAGTGAAGCAGCTGAATGACTCGGACCCCTTCACCACCTCCCCTCTCATGGAGGGGACCCCCACCATCAAGAGCCGCAAGAAGCTCCTTCAGATCATCGACACCACTCTGCTTAAATGTTACCTCCACGTAAGGCCTTCAGATCGTTCTCTTACAAAATATTTCTATTTCAAATAAAATGCTGTTCTTTTGAAAATGCAGCTTTGATCACAGCAATAAATTACATTTTAAAATATATTTCAATAGAAAACAGTTTTTTTTATTGTTCTAATATTTCACAATGTTACTGTTTGCGTATTTATTTATTTATTTACCGTATTGGCCCGAATATAAGATGACCCTGATTATAAGACGACCCCCCTTTTTCCAGATGTACCTTTTGGAAAAAGGCTTTTTAAAAACCAAATCTTGTTTTTTCTCAGTAAAACACATTTTGTCTTCAATTATTTTCATATTGCATATTTTTCCTATTTTAATTTTTGTTTTGAAAGTATGATAAAAACTGGTAAAATGTACCAACAATCACATTTAAAAAAAATACAACTTTTGATATACCATTAAAAAAAAAAAAAAAGGTAGCCCATCTGAATTAGGACATTTAGGATATCCATCTAATAGTAGCCTACCAAAATCTTATGAACAGTAGAAGTTAAATCTTACTGTAGTCGTCAAATCTTGGTACTGTCTTACGTTTTAAAATCACAAAGGGAGTTTGGTCCCATCAGGCTAACATGACAGTCACGACTCATGCAGCTGTAAGGTTTTCTGCTTCTTTTGTTTTACTCGCGATCTTTACAACACGCATTACATTACATAGGCTATTTCATGGCACACTCGTTGTATGCGTATTTGGCGCCACCTATTGTTGTGGGTGTATTATTGACATGTCAAAGTCTAGACCCTGAATATAAGACGACCGTGTTTTTTCAGATGTATTTCCAAGAAAAAAATATCGTCTTATATTCGGGACAATACGGTACTTACTTTTTTTTTTGAGCAAGTAATTGCAGCCTTGGTGAGCATAAGAGACTTTATTTCAAAAAGATTTAAAAATCTTGCAAACCTTAGATTTTTTAACTGTTGCATACAGTGGGTATAGAAAAGAATCTCCCCCCTTTAAAATAATCACATTTTGTTGCTTTGCAGCCTGAAATAAAGATGGACACAGTTTAACTGTAAACTGTATTTACTCAGTGCAACTTATAACATCCAAGTGAAAGATAGAACACCAACATGTCAGAAAATAAATAAATAAACATAATCACAAAATGTATGTGTGATAAATTGGATGCTGCAAGATAATTTGTGGCTGCTGCTATGCTAGTACTTTTCTGATGGAATTTTGTGACTTTTCAGAAGCTTACTTATCAATATTTTTATTTAAAATTTACTACAATAAACCAAAGCAAAAGATTGTAAGATGTGATTAATTCTTTAGATAATTGTACCATGAACTCAAAAATATTATCCTTAAAACTTACAAAAATGCAATTTATCTAACATTTTTCAAATTCTCTTTCTTTGTTTTTGAAATGCTTATTGCTCTTAATTGTCCTCAGTAGATTCTCCTAATACTGTCATTATTTTAACAAGTCAGTCAATCATTACTTTAACAAGTCAGTATGAGAGAGATGAGATATGAATGTATAAGCACTTGGCTATGATGCCTGAAGCTCTTGTCTAAGTAGACAGATCTCTACAGTTACAGCTAGTTTATCTCAATTTACTGTAAAGGTGTGAATGTAGAGAATGGTTTTTGTTTTGTTTTTTACCTGCAGACGAATGTAGCTTTGGTGTCGCCTCTCCTGCGTCTGGAGAACAACCACTGTCACATAGAGGAGAGCGAGTATGTGCTGAAGAAAGCCCACAAATACAGCGAACTCATCATCCTCTATGAGAAAAAAGGCCTTCACCAGAAAGGTGCGCTAAGTCTTCTCAAGAACTTGCTTCTAGATTGTCTTATGAGCGTTTATGTGTCCTTGAGTAATCTCCATTAGGAGCATAATCTCTGTTGTGTCCTCAAGCATCTGAATATGATTTGGAGGGCTCCGATCAGCTCTTGTTTACAGAGATGCTCTAATCATGTCCTGGGCTGTTTTGTTGATGTCATGCCTTGCAGAAGATACGATGAGGAATGATTATTTTCATGAATTGGATGCTGTTTTGCACTGTATGTTCTGTAATGGTGTGTGTATGTTGACTATTTATTGTCAGTATATGATTTTACATCACCAGTTTTTCTCTCTGTTGAGACATGCAGTTCAGAACTCACCTAAGAATACATAAACATTTTGTCATGATGCTGCAGATAATAATCTTCCTCATTCAGTTCAGTAGACTTACAGAAGTGTAATTGTCCAGCTCTGCAGGTTCTGCTGGATCAGTCCACTAAAGCCAACTCTCCTCTGAAGGGTCATGAGAGGACTGTACAGTATCTTCAGAGGCTGGGTGAGATGACCACACTCAAGTACTGCATGTATACAATTTAATATAGTCAACACACTGTGTATTAGGATTGTACACATTAAAGCGTAGTATTTATTTAGTATAACTCTTTTGCTTGAAGGTCAAGAAGTGAGCCAGAATCTTAAACATGTTCACAGTCCCACATGACCTCTGCAGCTGCAGAAGTTCAGTAGATTATTTTGCAATATGGCTTAGTGCAATTATCAAATAGCAAAGGCTGCGACTTCAATAAATATATGCACTGCATGTTTCAGAGTGAAGCATGGCACTGTGTTCATTTACAGTTGAGCAGCTCGTGATCCATCCATGTTTTCAGCATTTCAGAACGTCATGGTTCGCAGTAAATGCTGCTCCACACAAAATCCATCTGCTCTGAGTTTGGGTCGCTTATAACATGCATTTGTAAACATGCGTCAATCTGCAAAATACAAATTTGATGGTTTAATGTTCGAAAAGAAAAAAGTAAGAGCCATAAATATTAGTATTGTAATTTTACAGTTGCACTGAAAAATAAACTATTCTTAATTTTATATTATTTTTCTTAAATGCTCTTCTTCGGTATGTTATATTTCACAGCGAAATATTACAATAGTATTAGTAGTAATATTTTGTTTTAGTCATTATTTTTAGTAAGAATAGCCATATTGATATATAACTGTTTTTACTAAAAACTAACAATTTTTATCAGAAAACATACAATTATAGATAATCGCAAATAGATATTTTCTCAAATCTTGTAGCCCTACTCCCCCTTTCATTTTTGTTTAGTAAATATTCTCACCAATTAGATTCTTTCAGCTACCAATAAGAGTGTAGTACTCTCAGCTCCATTTAACATTTTACAATGTTAAAATCTATTTCACTGATTTTTCCCAAAAATGCAGTAAATGCAAAAACAACCAACTGATTCTGATTGATAAGTAACATTCGTCCTTTCTGACTAGTTTAACAATATGTTGATTTGTAAGACAAATGATCCAGCTCATCATTTACATGCATCGGCGTCTTTCTGCACAGGTGTGGAGAACCTGGGCATGATATTTGAGTTTTCACCGTGGGTTCTGAAGATTTGTCCAGAGGATGGACTGAAGGTGGGATGAACATAGTCTGGTTGTATTTATATGTACTCCGTTCTTCAGAAGATCTTGAGTTTGGTTTTTCTGCTTTCAGATCTTCACTGAGGACCTGACGGAGGTGGAGACTCTGCCCAGAGATAAAGTGTTGAACTTCCTGAAGGACGGCTTCAAGGATCTGGCCATCCCGTACCTGGAGCACATCATTTACATGTGGGACGAGACACGCCCCGAGTTCCACAATGTTCTGATCCAGCTCTACCTGGAGAAGGTGCAAGGCCTCATGAAAGTGTACCTCAACTCACTGCCTGAAGGTCAGACACGCAGCTGTGACTCGCACTGCTTTATCCGAGCTGCTCTAGGAGTGCTGCTGGTAACAATAATATAATTCCTGCTGAAGTAATACAATAATGATGCAACAGAAAAACACAGTCTTGGGACAATTTCTCATTAAAAGTGAAATTCAGAGTCGATATGCAGCAGTATCTGAAACTATACAGAAGTCATGAACACTGCAGCATAATCTGTGTCGACTGGTGATGACTAGTAGTTTTGTTTTGGGGGGGATGCTATTTAGTACAGTCATTTTTAATTCTCAGATAGAAGTGCTTCAGACTCTATAGTTATTAGAAAAAAATGCATAATCAGTGCAAATTATAAAATAATAGTAGTAATTTTTAGCATTAGGGTAATTTATATACAATGACATCACACAGTAGTTGAAAACATTTTTATGGAGGGAAAAAGGCATTGGCTACTGTGGAAAAATGTGCAGAACCCAAGATATCCAAAAAGCTACAACACTTATATAATAAATTATTCACAGAAGCATAATTATACAATTTAATATGATGTGTTTGATGGATGGATTGTGCTGTTTAAAGCACTTGGCAGGTGTTTTTCCCCAGCATGTCACTTTTTTATGGTTATGTTCTCATCAGTAAATGTTATGAATTCATGTAAGTATTTCAGTTTTTCCTAAAATGCAAGCTAGTTGTGATTGGCTTTATTTTATTGTATTTGTGTGACTACTGTGTAGCTAGTAGAACATGTATAACACTGCTCTTGCCATGAAAATAGCCTCAGCTTCTAATATGGCATTTAAACTTCTTCTACCTACCTACTTTTAATTAAGCCACCAAAACATTCATTTAATTTTTAAGGAACGTAAACAAAATTATATTTTCTGACAATTTGCTCTTCACTGGATCTATAAGTTTGAATAAACCCTTTATTAGCGACACAATTGTTCTTTGCAAAGGAAATTATAACACAACGGAAAGGGAGTCATAATTTGTGTAAAAATGAATGGTAGTTTATAGGGTGTGGGCTAGAAAGGGTTTTACAAAAAGAAAAAAAACTGAATAATGGATAGCAAAAAACATTTGTGACACAAAGTATCCATAAACATGTCTAAAACGAAAACTTTCTGTCTAGATGAAATAAAGGCCGAACGCGTTGTGTTGACTGTGTCCAGGTGTTCCAGCTGTAGCTGCAGGAAAGGAATCAGGAGAGCTGGGAGAGTACAGGAACAAGCTTCTGTCGTTTCTGGAAGTTTCCAGCAGCTATGAGCCAGAGAGACTCATCAGTGATTTCCCATTTGATGGTGAGTCCATAGGTCAGAGACATTACAATAGAATATAGCTGCAAGCAGCAATGACGGGCCCAAGCCCTTCCGGTGGCTTCAAGAAAACAGTGCAGAGTTTTCAATATGCATTTAAACCTCTGGCAGTCTGGTTGTTGAGTCACACCAGTGAAAGGGTTACTTAACAAATACATACATATAGAGGGTAGGATATATACAACTTTTAATGATCTATAAGAATTTTTTAATGATTTTAATGATCTATTAGCATTTGTAAAGTAATTATATAAAACTATATTCACAGTACAATACATTTCAACTGAATCTATGCATTTATTTGTCATTATAATGGATGGAAACAGACGGGAGAAAGATGAGGCTTAAAATAATTCTTACCCTATGACTCCATCTAGTAGACAATCGTAGTATTACAGCCTTCATTTGTCAGCTGAAATGTCTCATAGTTTATAATTTGCTGTTAGGCCCCTGAGCATCAGAAATTCATGAAACGAAGCATGTTTCCTCAGAATGACTTGACTTGTTGAACAGTGACCTTTAAAGATAGGCTATAAGACATTTCCGGTTTCCTTTTTTGCTGTTATTTTCATAAATCACCATGGCAACACCGTTTGAGATATCCAAAAAAACGTTCACAAGTTAGGTTCCTCAGTGTTTTGGCATCATGTTGACAAAGTTTGGTGTAAATCGTATGAAAGCGTTTGGAGGAGTATAAAGAAGAAGAATTTAAAAGTTTGAAGCATTGCCATTCACCACGGGCCCCCCCGATGACCTTCTGCCTGGCCCTGATGGCTGCAGATTTCAACGTGTGCAAATTTTCAAGAGTTTTTGAGCATGTTAAGGGCTCCAAAATGCCCTGGATAAATAAATAAATAATTTGTCCTTAGAAAAACAATAGGACCCTGCGCCCCTAATGGCTTGTGCCCTAAAAATCTAGAACAACAATGACAAATACTGTTCTTGTGTTCCTTCCTCCCCTCCTTTCTCTCGTTCTCTCAGGTCTGTTGGAGGAGAGGGCTCTTCTGCTAGGTCGTATGGGGAAACATGAGCAGGCTCTCTTCATCTACGTTCACATTCTGAAAGACACGCATATGGCTGAAGAGTGAGTGTCGCTCTTTACTCATCCCTAGACCTGTTCTCTATCACAAAATCAACATGAAATCAAAATGGACACTGCGAGCTTCATCTTCAAAAGCAATTATAAAGACAGTTAATAATGTCGTCAGTTTTACCATATCAGTTCCAGCCAGAGTCAGATTTTGAAAATGCAGATGACCAAGCCGATCGATAAATCTTAACCACTGATTCCTAATTGCATCCACTTTCAGAAGGCCAAATAAAGTGCTTTTGCTTTTGCTTTTGCATAGAAACGCACAGCGTCTCCACAATGGTGGAAACAACACTACTGCGATGAGTGTTTTAGGGTGTCCAGTTAATGAACATTCTGATAGCTAATGATAGCAGTAATAATGATGGCACTAATAACAATGTTATTAATTGATTAATTGATGTTATTGATGATATGCCCATCAATTATGGTTGCCCATGCACAAGTTTTTGAGTAATATTGTGTCAGTTGTGATGAGACTTTACGGTCATGAAAGTCACCTTTAATATTTACTGTAGTCACTATCACACAGATACAGTGCGTGCGGCTTGAAGTCTGAGGGTTAGTAAATATGGTTGTCAATCCCAAACACTGTGTAAATGTGGTCAACTGCAAATGTAAAACCATCTCTCTTGTGATGAAACTCCTTGTCTAATGTTAACAGAGGTGCCGTGTGACTGTGTCCTGTCTGTAGGTGTATCTGTCCCTGCTGCGCATGTATCTGTCTCCTCCGGATGTGCACTTCCTCGGGCCCATTAAGATGGAGTTATGTGAGCCACAGGCGAACCTCCAGGCAGCCCTGAAAGTTCTTCAGCTCCACCACAGCAAACTAAACACCACCAAAGTGAGCATCCATCGAGAACACATGGAAATATACATTTGAGTCTGGAATTGAAGACATTATCACCAAACCATGACAGTTTCCTTTCCTCACCTGTCTGAGAGTGAAATACTGACATACTGCATGCTGTAACAAAGCCACAGACAGAATCCATGGCATGTTCTCATCGTGTTTCTCTTTGTCTCTCATAAGGCCATAAACCTGCTGCCAGCCAACACACAGATCCGAGAGATCCAGGTCTTTCTGGAGAGTGTGCTGGAGGAGAAGGCTGGGAGGAAGCGCTTTGACCAGGTCCTGAAGAGCCTCCTTCAGGCCGAGTTCCTGCGGGTACGATTACTTGTGAACAATTTGACTCTGCCCGCTAAAGACTCACTTACTTTTGAAGCTGTATTCAATGTTTTAAAACAAGGTACTGGTGAATGCATCATTTTGTCAGATTACGAAGTTACTTGCTGGAAAATGTAGCTTGTTACTGGAAAAGATGCAATACTTAAAAACAGCCGAGCTTCTGTAATCCTACTAAAAAATTTTAAATTAAGGGCAAAGCTGTATGCTAGCGTACGCGTAAAAAACTAAGTATACTTTGGGCTTTAAAAGCATCACTAATTCTAACTCTCCAAAATGCCCCTATGTTTAATTTAATGTACCGTATTGACCCGAATATAAGACGATGTTTTTTTCTTGGAAATCCATCTGAAAAAACGCGGTCGTCTTATAGTCAGGGTCTAGACTTTGACATGTCAATAATACACCCACAACAATAGGTGGCGCCAAATACGCATAAAACGAGTGTGCCATGAAATACGTATTGTATCTGGCTTGTATGGCTTGTACTATATCTTGTACAATGCAACAGTCCCACAAGGATTTTGTGGGACTTTTTTCTGAAAATACTGAAAATACAGAATAATAGCTTGCATACTGTCACTAAATCAGTACCGTATTTATTTATTGACATGGATTATATACTGTACATTTGAAATGTTTTAAATTATTCATGTTTGTACAGGTTAACAGTTATATCATTGTCATTTGTTTTAATATTGCTGTTGCATTTTTTAATTTATATATAGTGTTATCAGTAATTGCATTCTCTCAAAATATTAAAAAAGCCAATAAAAACTGTACTTATTTAAATATAATCTTTATTTAAATGTAAATCTTTAAAATGAGGAAATAAGATAAACATTCAAGCTGTCTGGAGAGACTGAATGCAAAAACATTATAGGGGTCATATAATGCTATTTTCAAAGATCATTTGTGTACTGGTTTAATATAATATGTTAGCATGCTTTAATGTTAAAAAATTCATTATTTTTCCATACTGTACATTATTATAGACCCAGTCTTTCTAAAACACGTCGATGTCTACAAAGCCCCTCCTTCGAAAAGAGCAGTGTGTGCTGATTGGCCAGCTGACCCAGTGCGTTGTGATTGGCCGAACAGCTGAAGTGTTGTGTCAGAAATGCAACGACCCTTACCATAATCGCGAGCTTCATCTTCAAAAGCAATTATAAAGACAGTTAATAATGTCGTCAGTTTTACCATATCAGTTTCAGCCAGAGTCAGATTTTGAAAATGCAGATGACCAAGCCGATCGATAAATCTTAACCACTGATTCCTAATTGCATCCACTTTCAGAAGGCCAAATAAAGTGCTTTTGCTTTTGCTTTTGCTTTTGCATAGAAACGCACAGCGTCTCCACAATGGTGGAAACAACACTACTGCGATGAGTGTTTTAGGGTGTCCAGTTAATGAACATTCTGATAGCTAATGATAGCAGTAATAATGATGGCACTAATAACAATGTTATTAATTGATTAATTGATGTTATTGATGATATGCCCATCAATTATGGTTGCCCATGCACAAGTTTTTGAGTAATATTGTGTCAGTTGTGATGAGACTTTACGGTCATGAAAGTCACCTTTAATATTTACTGTAGTCACTATCACACAGATACAGTGCGTGCGGCTTGAAGTCTGAGGGTTAGTAAATATGGTTGTCAATCCCAAACACTGTGTAAATGTGGTCAACTGCAAATGTAAAACCATCTCTCTTGTGATGAAACTCCTTGTCTAATGTTAACAGAGGTGCCGTGTGACTGTGTCCTGTCTGTAGGTGTATCTGTCCCTGCTGCGCATGTATCTGTCTCCTCCGGATGTGCACTTCCTCGGGCCCATTAAGATGGAGTTATGTGAGCCACAGGCGAACCTCCAGGCAGCCCTGAAAGTTCTTCAGCTCCACCACAGCAAACTAAACACCACCAAAGTGAGCATCCATCGAGAACACATGGAAATATACATTTGAGTCTGGAATTGAAGACATTATCACCAAACCATGACAGTTTCCTTTCCTCACCTGTCTGAGAGTGAAATACTGACATACTGCATGCTGTAACAAAGCCACAGACAGAATCCATGGCATGTTCTCATCGTGTTTCTCTTTGTCTCTCATAAGGCCATAAACCTGCTGCCAGCCAACACACAGATCCGAGAGATCCAGGTCTTTCTGGAGAGTGTGCTGGAGGAGAAGGCTGGGAGGAAGCGCTTTGACCAGGTCCTGAAGAGCCTCCTTCAGGCCGAGTTCCTGCGGGTACGATTACTTGTGAACAATTTGACTCTGCCCGCTAAAGACTCACTTACTTTTGAAGCTGTATTCAATGTTTTAAAACAAGGTACTGGTGAATGCATCATTTTGTCAGATTACGAAGTTACTTGCTGGAAAATCTAGCTTGTTACTGGAAAAGATGCAATACTTAAAAACAGCCGAGCTTCTGTAATCCTACTAAAAAATTTTAAATTAAGGGCAAAGCTGTATGCTAGCGTACGCGTAAAAAACTAAGTATACTTTGGGCTTTAAAAGCATCACTAATTCTAACTCTCCAAAATGCCCCTATGTTTAATTTAATGTACCGTATTGACCCGAATATAAGACGATGTTTTTTTCTTGGAAATCCATCTGAAAAAACGCGGTCGTCTTATAGTCAGGGTCTAGACTTTGACATGTCAATAATACACCCACAACAATAGGTGGCGCCAAATACGCATAAAACGAGTGTGCCATGAAATACGTATTGTAATGCGTGTTGTAAAGATCGCGAGTAAAAACAAAAGAAAAAGAAAACCTTACAGCTGCATGAGTCGTGACTGTCACGTTAGCCTGATGGGACCAAACTCCCTTTGTGATTTTAAAACGTAAGACAGTACCCAGATTTGAAGACTACAGTAAGATTTAACTTCTACTGTTAATAAGATTTTGGAAGGCTACTATTAGATGGATAGCCTAAATGTCCTAATTCAGATGGGCTACCTGTTTTTATTTTTAATGGTGTATCAAAAAGTGTATATTTTTTAAATGTGATTGTTGATACATTTTTCCAGTTTTTACCATACTTTCAAAACAAAAATTAAAATAGGAAAAATATGCAATATGAAAATAATTGAAGACAAAATGTGTTTTACTGAGAAAAAACAAGATTTGGTTTTTAAAAAGCCTTTTTCCAAAAGGTACATCTGGAAAAGGGGGGGGGTCGTCTTATATTCGGGCCAATACGGTAATTTAATCATGTTTTTTTTGTTCGTGTGCAGGTGCAGGAGGAACGCATCTTTCACCAGCAGGTGAAGTGTGTCATCACAGATGAGAAAACCTGCAGAGTGTGCAAGAAGAAGATCGGAAACAGGTGCGCTTCATGTGAATATCTCATGTTACTGCAATATTCTGTTCTGTAACACACTGGCCTGTGTACACCATGCACAAATCAAGCTGGGGTTTTTTTGTGATGCAAAAGTACATACTTGGGTGTGTAGCGAAAGATTGTACAAGTAATAGGACATTATTACCACATCATAAATACCACAGACATGACAAAGTAAATCTGACATCTGACAAATTACATTGAGAGAAAAAAAAAACGTACTCTGTTACGGCTATCTGAATGTGAAAGTAAGCGTCTTTCAGATCCAGAGAGAAGAACCAGTCCCCATGGGCGAATTAGCGAGAGGATCTGTTTACTAGGGCGCGGTTCAAAATTCTGAGATCGAGGATGGACCCTAACGTAACCTCGGTTCCCTGAGATACGGGAACGAGTACTGCGTCGCTAGACGCTGCGGGAAAATCCTTTTCTCCGATTACTGAAGCCTTTTTTTTTTTCAATCACAACAGTGCATCTGCACTGCCATTGTTTCAGAAATGAACCAATGACGGCGCAGCTCACCAAAATGGGCGGGGCATCTGGCTATATAAGCAGGTGCTCGGCATAGGATCACTGATTCACCATGCTATGGTAGATGAACGACTTATAAGTAATTGTCCAGGGCGTCCAGAAGGGGGCCCTGTAGATCAACTACAATGAAGCAGGCCATAGCCAGAGACCCGGATTCTTTTCGGGGGTCAAGAAGAGGCAAAGAAATGGCCCAGACTAAGCCCAGATGTGGGAACTTCAGCGGGTTCGAAACATAGTCAAACCCAGCAAGGATTAAATCCAGCCTTAGGGCGGGGATATGGTTCCTGGAGCGTTTTGAGCTCAGAGAGACAGTTAAGCAGAAAGGACCTGAGCCTGCAAAGCAGGGACGTCTAGGTTGTAGAACCTGACAAAGGTGGACGGCGAGGACCAGCCGGCCGCCGCACAAATTTCTGCAATGGACACACCACTGGACCATGCCCAGGATGAGGCCATGCCTCTCGTGGAATGTGCTCTGACCCCGATGGGGCATTGAAGGCCCAAGGAGGAGTATGCAAGAGCTATTGCGTCAACTATCCAACGGGATAGTCTTTGCTTTGTGACCGGAAGCCCCTTGGTGCGGCCACCAAAGCATACAAAGAGCTGCTCCGACTGCCTAAAGGAGGCGGAGCGGTCAAAGTAGATTTTTAATGCCCTGACAGGACAGAGCAG